TCAAAAATGAAAAATATTAAATCATGCCATTAAAAAATAGTCGAAATTTGAATATTATGATATTATGAAGCCGAAATACCATTGCAATTTAATTCTCGAAATTCGTATTAATAATCGTATTTTTTATATTTTTAAATTTTTTTATTCTTATTTTAATTAATTTAGTAATTATTATTTTCAACATTTAAAATTTATTTTAAATGTAAATAATAATAATAATAATAATATAACACAAATATCCTCCAACAACAAAATTTTTTGACAAATGAAAAAAGGGGCAAATTGGGAAAATTCCACACCTGTTGGCGGTAAGGTTCAGTGTAGACTTGACTGATTTTTAAATTTTCCTTCTACTCTCCTTTCCCCCCTAACTTTCATAGCTTTGTGAGAGCAAGTTAATTACACAAATTTCTCTTAACCTTGTCAAGAGACGCATTACTATATTGTTGCAAATAGATGGTTCTCAGGGATCAACCCTTCATCCTGATTTCGTGAATATTAGTAAACAACACGATGAAGCTCTTTAGCCTTTCACTTAGAACGATTATCAATTTTCAACAGTTTAAAAGTGAGATTTTAGAATCGTAATCTATTTCACTTAGGACGATTATCGATTTTCAACCTTTAATTTTAGAATCGTAATCTATTTAAACTGATAAATTTGGGTTTCTGAGTGATTGAAACCACGCTAAAATCAGGAATTTTTCTCAATGGGTGCAAATTTTAATTAAATTTTTTTCTGGAATTTTCAAACTGAAATGGAGGCACTTTACTGTCAAATTATTTTTTTGCAGGAATATATTAGCATATTATACTATTTTTTAATTATTATTTTTTTCAAAATTACAAATCTAGTGGGAACACTTGACCATACCGCACACCTTAGATATGCCAATGCTAAAATCTACGCAACTTTCAACCGACTTAAAACAAAATGAATTCTGCTATAGGTACAGAGATTTGAATTCATGCACCTATACAGGATAGACACATCGAGAAAATCAAATTTTTTAATCACATGGGGCCCACCCCCATGTGAGTAAAATTCAAAATTTTGTTGGAAAATTCGTAGAAATTTTCTGTATTCACAACATTTTTGAAACAAAATTGATAAGCTAAATATTTACCTCAAATTCAACCGAAAATAGCATGCAATTTTAACATTAAAATTGACGATCCTCACGTGGAAAATCAAATTTACAAATTCAAATAGATTGAGAACCCATAACCACATTACGTGAATGTTTAGAAAACCCGGCCTTAATTTACCCCAACACGTAACAAAAAAAAACAAAATATTTATACTCGTTCACTCTCAATGTAAGAGCTAATTTTTTTTTTTTTTTTTT